TGTGCATGTGTGCGTGTGTGTGCATGTGTGCGTGTGTGCATGTGTGCGTGTGTGCGCATGTGTGCGTGTGTGTGCGTGTGTGTGCGTGTGTGCGTGTGTGTGCATGCTTGTGTTGCTGTGAGCATGTGTGTGCAGCCCACGTTCCACCGTACAGGTGTGTGCCTGTGCCTTCTGAATGCGCGTGACTGCATGTGCATCTACGTATTCATAGCCTCCCCAGACTACAGGAGCTCCCGCTCCACGTCCATTTGTCCAGCCAGCAAACCGGAAGCACCTGCTGGGTTCAGGCTTCTGCCTGGAGATAAAGACACAGTGAAGCAAGACGCGAGCGACCCCTGGCCCGGCCGGCTCAGCTCTCTGTTGGAACTCGGTGTCTGTTCTTTCTGAGCGGCAAAGGGGCTGGGGGTGTGCTCAGTGGTGGAGAGCGGCTGTGGTCAGTGGGGGCTGCTTGTCCAGCATGTGCGGGAGCCTGAGTTCAGGCAAAGGCTGGACCACAAGGTGAGGGCGGAAGCTGAGTTTGGGGTGCACAGGCATCAAGGTGTGACACAGAGGGAAGGACACAGGAGGAGCTAAGGTGACAGAGTCTGGATCCTGCCACAGGAAAGGCCGGCTGGACCCAAGCCTCAGCACCCTCAGGTTGAAGGATGCTCAAGATTTCCCACATCCCTCTTCCAGAAAGTTCTTCCATGGAGAAAAATGGAAACTCAACAGCCAAGTGTCAGTGGTGACATGTAACCACTGGGAGGTGTCATGGGCAGAAACAACCAACGATGGAGTTTAGAGGTGGGACCTTCGGTGGGTGGCTTTATAGGAAGAGGCAGACACCAGAGGAGCCGTCCCCGTCCCTCACCATGTGATGCTCCACACCACCATCCCCAGATGCGAGCTTTTGACCTTGGATCTCCAGAACCATGAGCCAAAATAAACCTCCTGGGGCCAGGGGTACAGCTCAGAGGTAGAGCGTGTGCTCAGCATGTGAGGGGGCCTGGATTCAATCCCCAGCACCAAAATAAAAAGTGAAAGAAAAGAATAAACCTCTTTTCTTTTTAAAGTTATCCAGCCTCATACATTTTGCTACAGTAATGCAAAACAGCCTAAGACACCATCTCACCCCTTCTCCCTGGTAACAGAGATGCTGTGACACCCAGTTCCTCACCCAGGCCCCATTCCACCCCTGCACCCTGACTGCAACAAGGCCCGCCCCTGCTCCCCCAGCAGATGGGGAAAGCCATGTATTTGGGGGTTGGTACCTCAGCACAGGTGCCCAAGTAGTTGTAGACACTGAGTGGGACCTTGACCTGCTCCCCGCGGACGACAAGAGGTGGCAGCGTGAAGTCCAGGAAGAAGGGCTTGAAGGTCTTCAGCAGGGCGGGCTCGGCGATTCCCAGGCCGCGTGAGGCGGAGAGGCCCACGGCCTCCGCCACCCAGCTGGTGATGGAGTCAGGCACCTGCAGACTGAGGGTCTCCTCCCCTGACGGGTCACTGTGGAGACACAAGAGGGACCAGGGCCAGGTGGGGATGGACCAGGCCACCTGGCTTGGGGGGTCTGGGGTGGGGGCTGGGAGCTCAGGAACAACTACTTGAGGCACCAGGGGAACATGGGACCCGAGAAAGCCACCCTCAGCCCTAATTTGCTCTGAGAAAAACATGGCCGGGTCTCAAGGTGACACGAACACAGGTCTTGAGAGGGGAAGGTCGGCCCTGCCTGGTTTGGGACAGAGCCACTGAATGAACGGGCCCAGCCACTTGGCGGGGCCGGGCACGTCCAGGGGATGCACATTTACGGGTGTGATCACGCCGCGCCCTGTAAATACGCACCATCCTCCTGTCAGTTAAGAAAACGATGAGAAAGAAAAAAGCCTGAAAATAATGCAACAGAGTCTCAGGATTTCCCCGAGCCGTGTTCTGGGAAGCCACCGTGAACTCGGAATTAGCAGACAATGGCTCACGGCTCCTACCAGAAATAGAGGGTCAGGACCCTGTCAGCCTCTGGTCATATTTTGGTCGACAAATCAATATTCAATTTTGTTTTATGGGTTTTTTTTTGGGGGGGCGGATAACCAGGGATTGAACTCAGGGGCACTCGACCCCTGAGCCACCTCCCCAGCCCTATTTTGTATTTTATTTAGAGACAGGGGCTCACTGAGATGCTTAGGGCCTCCATTTTGCAGAGGCTGGTTTGAACTCGAGATCCTCCTGCCTCGGCCTCCCGAGTCCCTGGGCTGACAGCCATAGGCCACTGCACTCAACCTATGTGTATCTTTGTTCAAAGACACCTCATTTAGTATGTGGCGTGTTCGTCACATGAGCTCACGGCCAGTGGCACCGAGACACCCTCAGAGGGAGAGCAGGCGAGAGATTCCACTGCACCTCTCAGAAGGCCGTGAACTTAGGAATTCTTTTGTTTCCGGAATGTTCCATTTAATATTTTTGGGCACAGTGACTGTGGGTCGCGCACTCCAGGTAAGAGGGACTCTCTGGCAGGTCTGAGGAGGGAAGTCGTCCCCCGACGTCAGGCCAGGTGTCGGGGAGTGCTGCACTTGAGGAGACCGCTAGCTCTGCTCCTCCCCGGTCTCCGCGCCAGGCCGCGGGTTCTCCGGGAGGGGCCCCTCAGCCTCCTGCTGCCGCGGCCTTGTCAGAGGGAGGGGGCATGTGCTCATTGTCACAGATACCGCGTGGTTCCACTGATCCACAGTCCCCGGGTCCTCACCGTCACAGTCAGAAGGTGAAGTGGTCAGGGGCGGGGGGAGGCACGGGGGAAGGGTTTAACGGGGACAGAGGGTCAGTTTTCAAGAGTCCTGGAGACGGCGGTGACGGTCATTCGAGGATGTGCAAGCTCCATGCCACGGGGCTGTGCGCTTAAACACGCGCGACAGTCAGTTTTACGTGATGCGGATCTTTCCACGATTTCGAAAACCAGGGGAGAAAAAGGGAGATTGCCCAGGCCCTCCCTGGGCCCACAGGAGGCTCCCTGGCCTCAGACCTGTCCCTCTGATTCATCCTCGCTGCGGCCAACGGCGGGGAGGGACGTCCCAAGGCCCAGATCCCTGGCTCTGGTCCGTCATCCAGCCCTGGGGCCTCAAGCCCTCTGCCTCCCCCAGCCACGAGGGACCTGCCAGGCTGTCCTGCTGGTCCCTCCTGGACACCTTCCGCCCCTTGTTACGTGTCCATTTACACGTCTGGGCTCGGGCCCCACCTCCTGCCTTCTCCAGAGGGTCCCCAGCCCCGGAGCCCCCAGGCCTGTGTCCCCCATCCATGAAGGACGGACCCCACTGCTGTCCCAGGGCTCCTGGGGTCCCGGGGCACCTGCTGACTCTGCGACATGCAAACCTCAGGAGCCCGGGGACCCCGTCTGCCTTGTTCCAGGGACCACCCTTGGCACCCCAAAAGTCACCCAGCACCCGGAAAACAGAAATTCTCTTGCAATGCCAGGAACGGAAGCCGGGGCCCGGGGACGCGCTGGGGAAGCGCTGCACAGAGGCCGCCTCCCGGCCCAGCGGAGTCCTCTGGATGGTGTTGTAGCTGGGCCCCACAGCAAACCCCGCAGCCAGGATCCGCTCCCACCAGGAGTCTGCCTCCCGCAGAGCCCAGCCCCCAGGTCTGAGAATGGGAAGGGCACCTCTCCCGCTGGCTCACTCCACACGGGTGGCTGTTGTCCCCGCAGCTTGTCCTGCTCCTGTAGGGTGGGCAGACGAGCTGCCGCCCCCTGTTGGTGCCAAACTGCCATTAAATGCTCGGGGCCTAGAAGGACCTGGGCCAGCAGCCGGTCCATGCCAAGCAGTCCCGGGCTGCAGACTTCCCTGCCTGACTGGTGTGTCATGGCCAGACGCTCTGACACCAGCAACAGGCACCCCCCGCGTCCTGCAGAGAGCGGGCCTCTGGATCCTGCTTCTGGGAACTAGAGCTGAACGGGGCAAGGAGCAGCCGGCCCCATGGCAGGAGCCGAGTCCCCGAGGGGCCAGGAGGGAGGAGGGCGGGTTCAAGTTCAGGTTCTGTCCAGAAATGTCATCTCCTTAATGAGCTCATTATGCCGACAGAGCACTCAGGGCCCCCAGGGAGCTGCGACCGACCGCGGACTGCGGTTCTCACGGGCAGGTGTCCAGGCTGCAGGGGACTGGGGGGGGGGGACTTCAGCAGCTTTGGGTTTGAGGGTTGAAGAAGAACTTGCAATGTCACCCAGGGGTGTCAGGGGCAGGGCCACAGGCAAAGGGGTCGGGAGGGAACCCTCTGGACTCGGTGAGAGCCTTGGGGTCCACCGGAAAGGACAGGGCAGGAGGGGGACGGAGCCCACCTGACGTTGACACACCGCCAAAGCCACGTCTCGGGGAAGAACGTCCTTTTCCTCTTCTCTGCTCTATAAGAATTTTAAAAGGAGGAAAAGTGGTTCAAGTTTCGTGGGCGCACAAGCCCTTCCCTGCAGTGGCCTTCTGCCTGGTCAGACTCTCACAGGGGCTTCGGGGGCCCAGCAGGGACCACTGGGCTCGATGGGGGTCACGCCGGCTCCTCTCTCTTCCCGGCTGATCCGGGTGACGCGTCTGTCTCCTCTCCCCCCGCCCCTGGGAGGGTCCGCCTTCTACTCAGGACAGCGGAAGGCGAGGCCCAAGGCGGGCAGAGTCCACCTGCCACCAGAGTGGGCCTCAGAGTCTGGATGCAGGGGGTAGGAGGGACAAGGGGACCGCCCCCTTCCTCCCCTTACTAATGTCCTTGCCACGTTCTTCCCCATCGTCACACGGAGCCCCTCTCCCTCCCCTTCCTCCTTCCTGCAGAGAGCCTTCCACTCGTCCTCCTCTGTGCCCCAGCAACCTCACAACTCACTGTCCTTAAGGACAAAATAATGCTTCTTAAAATTTCACTCAACCTCTCAAAATTAAAAAATGCTCACATCCTTTCTACCAGCGATACCCCTTGTAGAAACGCACCCAGGATACTGCCACAGACACGTGTGCAAAGAGACAGGGGAGGACACGGCAGCCTCCATCAATGGGGGGACTAGCACATTCATCAGCAGAATATTATACACTGGTGAACAAGATCAATGGCAGTTGTGCATGGTACTCATGCGGAATAGTCTCCAAGGCTTATTGTTAACTTAAGAGAGGAAAATAGAGAATATGGTTGACCCATTATGTCCCATGGTCCTAGATATAGGACATCAGCAAAAATTTAAATTGAACAGTTTTACAGGTATCCATTATATAGGCACCCCCTACACAGGATGATGAGATGTCATACGTTAAAGCAGTCAATTAGATTTTTTTAAAAAATTCTTATATATGCCCAAAAGAGATCTAAGAAGTTGTCCATCATGATTATGACTGAATAAAGTAATGGAGGGCTTGGGAGTAGGAGGAAGACTGAAGGTTCATTTATACCCTTTCAGTGTTTAAAAATGATTTTTTAGCCAAAGGTCCTCAGTGATCGGAAGCCCTGTCCTCAGCATAAGGATGCGCATCCATTTACAGAGAGGCCTGGGCGCTTCCTGCGTGAGGCATTTCCTGTGACTTTCTAACCCCAGGAAGCTACTTCCATGTCCGCTCCGGGCCCAGCTCCCGGATCCTGCACAGGGTGGGTGAGGGCCCCCAGGGTGGCCGCCATGTTCCACCTCCCTCATTCACCCACGTCCTAAAATGCTTCCAGATGTGTCCTGATTTGGAGTCTGGAGAGCAGGAGGCTGTTGGCCACACTCTGCTAAATGTGTGGCTCAAGTGGGGACAGCTGGAAAGACCAGGGCCCCCAGGAACCGACGGGAGGGGACTGGCAGGGGCGAGAGGCTCCCGATCTGCACAGAGAGGGTTTGAAAACGTGTGCTTCACGGACAGGCCACGCACCAGGGAAAGAGAGCACCCGGGCCACCTCTGGCTCAGGAAAGGGGTGGAGGGGCCCCGGGACCACCCTCAAGTCTCTGGAGAGACCTCGCACTGTGGACCTCCCTGGCCACTCCTCTCCCTTCTCCTCCTCCTAGGAGAGGGTGCACCAGGCCTGCGCTCCCTTCCCAGCCCACACGTCTCCATCCTCCGCAGAAAGCCGGGAGGCAGGGACCTCGGGACAGCTGGCTGGCCGAGATCTGGGGCTGAGAAGGGAGTGGGGGGCAGAGTAAATAAGGGGGCAGGAGAGAAGAGATGTGGGCAGAGCGGTGGAGAAACAGAAGAATAAAGTGCCAAGAAGAAGGGGGGACAGGGAACAGGAGGTCATGTCACTTCCCGTGAAGGAAAGGTTCCCTGACTCCAGGACAAAGCTGTGAATCTGCTCACTCAGTAACTGGTACTGTAAACAGACCACGAAATGGTCAGAGATGGAGAGGGTTTGAACACCATCACCACCGGGTTTGACCTCAAGTGTGCACTGAGCACCCAGAATTCAATGACTGGGCACTCGGAAACTCTTTTCAAAAAGGTACATTTGTAAAAAGCATCTACAAAAACTGGTCATAGAGAAAGTCTCCAAATTAAACCCAAAATATGGATAGCATACAGGCTACAAATGCTTGTTTGTGAATTTAGAAAACACGTAAGAATAATCATGGGGGGGAAATCATTTGAAAATTTAAAATACTTCTGGACAAGGCATGGCTCAAAAACAGAATCATTCCACCAGTTAGAAACAATGTGCAACCAAGCAATACTGGAAATGTTTCTTAGTGCCAAGTAGATGCAGCCAAAGCCGTATTCACAGGAAAATTCATAGTCCTTTAAAGGCCTAGCCCTGATATGAGAAAGACTGTAGGAAGGAATTGGGGTCTAACCTGAGAAAACAGAACTGGAGGGGAAAGGGAAAGAGGGTGAGAGAATGGAGGGAAAGGAAAGGTAGGAGGAAGGAGAGAGAACAAAAGAAAGAATTTTCTAAGCAGAGTTCCTGAAAGTAGGACAATCTGTTCTCAGACCAGCCAGCACCTCTGATGCATCTGCTTCTCTCTTCTCTACCCTCGCTCCCAGGCACTGGGGCAAGGCCAAGAACTGGGAGAGGGCTGTTTGGTGCCCCAGCTCCTAGCCCCCAGGAGATGATCAGCCAGCTCTACAGTGGACTGAATGTTTATATGCCCTCAAAATTCGTACGTGGAAACTCTATCCTTCAAGGTTTTAGGGAGTGGGGCTTCTGACAGGTGCTTACGTCATAAAGGTGGAGCCCTCCTGACCCTCCTGAATGGGACAGGTGCCTGCTAAGGCACCACCTGTGCACCAGACACTGCATCTCGGACTTCCCCACCTCCAGAGTGTGAGCGAGCCTAAGGTGTCCTGTCACAGCAACCCAGAGTGTGACAAGCCCCAAACACCATCAGTGTCCAGGGTCGGACACCTTGCTCCAGGTCTAGGCCATTACCTGGGGGGTTGCCTGGAAGGCGTCACGGCCACCAGGGTCCCTGTGTGGGGCTGGAAAGCCGGGACAACCTCGTCGGTGTAGAGGCTGCCGTCCTGCCGGTGGTTCAGGCTGACCCTGTTGGTCATCACCACTAGTCCTGTTTCCTGGCAACAGACAACGGCCAACAGTGGTGGGGAAGTGGATGCTGATGGTTCCAGGAGCAAAGGGGAGCGAATGACAGTCCCCATCACCCCGTGGCCGCTGGCCCCGACCTCACGGATGGGCACCTCAGGGAGGGAGTCATCTCTGGGCTTGGTGGAACCGGCTGAGGAGGTACAAACCCCAGGGACCATCCAGCGCAGAGCGATAGCACATCTAAATTGTGGCCAAGCCCAGCTGGACCGTGCACGAAAGGCCACACCTTTGGGAGTCCACCGATGGGAAACAACAGTCCAGGGGAATCCAGAGACAGGAAGGGGCTGCTGGGCTGCTAATGGGGATGGGCCCCCTTTTGGGGTGTTCTGGGTCTGGATGGAGCTGGTGGTTGCATGACAAGGAATTAACTGAGGCTCATTGAACTGTGCACTTTAAAATGGTGAGTTTTATGGTCTATGAATTAGAAAAAAATATCAACCTGACAGTGGGTGATCCAGGCCAAAGGCTGGTGACTTTGTATGCCAACGATTGCTTGTTATCTTTGTCACTATGACGATTATTGGGAGCAACTTGGTGGATGAGAAGATTTATTCTACTTTTTCCCAAGCCGGGTTCAACCCAGGGTTATGTGCATGCCAGGCAAGGGCTCCACCTCAGGTCTGAATGTCTGTCTGTCTGTCTCTATACTAGGAATCAAACCCAGGAGCACCCACTAAGCCTCTAGGACCACAGGCATGTGGCACCATGCCCACTGCACATCCCCATCTTAATGCCAATAAAATCCTAAATGCACCCTGGGCTCTAAGCCACAAACCCTCTCTGGATCTGTGTGACCCTGAAGGGCACCTGGGCAGATAGGACCTGCTGCCTGAGAACAGCCACTCCCCTCATTGAGCATTGCCAGGTACACACCAAAGCAACCCAAGTAGGGCAGAGCTAGGAGCAACCGGCCCCTGCCACTCCCTGGAGACGGCTTCCCTCCCTCCCACCTAGCACCCCCCACATACTGGTCCATAGATCAAGTTACCATCTGCCCAATCATTTAAACGTACAGTCGTGGCCCACATCAGGATAATCTGGTCAACAGTGGGCCAAACACTGTCAGATGAGATGTTGTGGCCATTGCAATGTTCTGCCTCAGGTAACCTGGGTGTGGGGACCCTGTGCTGCCTGCTGCGGAGAATCACAGCACACAGGACTACCTACGGTGCACACGGCTCCAAAACAAGAATAAACCAATGGCTGCCAGTTCTGTGCTGAGCACACATTGTCGTTTTAGCATAGGCTCCATCTACTTGTAAAAGCCGTTCACTGTTAACAGAATGCCAGGTCACACTGGCAGTGGCCTCTGCCGTCTCTTATTGACGGCGTCTCTCTGTGGCATCTGTGCTGGGTTTAACCTCAGGTGGTTTTGTTCATCGTGACCCTAGGAGCCGACAGGCTGTGTCCTGAACACACCCAGAGCGCAGGTGCACCGTAGGCTGTACCCTCAGTGTGTGAGCAGCCCCCAGGACCAGCACAGAGCCACCTAAAGACACAGTTCTCAGAACTTATCCCTGTCGCTAAGCAACGCGTGACTGCGCTGCTTTGCCCCTCGGGAGAACCACGCGGTAGCAGGGGTTGGGACCTTGGGCTCTGCCGCGTTTCTGGATCCCCAGACCCTCTGTCCCCACACGAGCGGGGCTCAGACTGTGTAGAAAGACTAAACCACCTCTCCTTACGGTGAAGGCAAATCCCGAGTCCTTGGTGACACCCCAGGGCCACGGGAAGGCCGAGGAGCGCCGGCGCCGTCGAGCGGTCAGCCCCGCCCACCAGGACGCTCCGTCCTCCCTGGACACACCGAAGGCGTCGGAAACGTCGTAGTCTTCCAGTTCCCGGAAAACCTGCAGGCAGAGGGGCACAGGCCTGGGTCAGCTGACGTTTCCAGTCCCAAGTAGGCCGTCGCGGGTCGCGCAGGTGTCCACCGCAGCCTCCTGTCACAGGGACGCGCCCACTGACGTCCGATGGGCTGACATTTTTGACAAACCCGTGACAGGTAGAAAATACCACGGGCCCCAAATGCATGGGTCCGACTGCTGAGACCCAGCTCAGCCCCAGGGCGCGCCTCAAGGTGGGCGCTTTCTCCCACTGTGCGCACTGCATCCAAGGAGGGGACCTGACCCCACGTCGCTGGCCCAGGGAAAAGTCCAAATTCACCACTCCAGCTTCGGATTCTACCGAATGCGCATTGCTTATGTGTCACGTCGTGACATTCGTCAGCCGGGGGTGTTGATAGTCATGGTCCATTTTCAGATGGGCAGTGGGGCCAGCCGTGCGGGACCCGAGCCGGCGTGGTTTCTCTCGGGTCTGAGGACTTGGCTCTGCATCTTGCGCATGCGCAAAAGCAGCCACAAGGATTTACCAGGCGCCCGCGGGTTCCCTGGGAAACGACCCCTCGGGGAAAGCGAATCCAGACCCACGCCCAGCTCCACGTTTCCTGGAGAGGAAGGGGAGAAAGGGCAAGCCACCGCTCACCTGGGCCGGAGTCAGCCGAAACCCAGACCTGAGCAGGTAGACGCTCCTGTCCACCGCGGCAATACACACGCAGCTGCCCCTCGCGGCCCTGACCCGGAGGTCCACCACCTCCCCGGGACGGGTCTCGTTTGCTGAATATGTCAGTGAAACCTGGAAACAGCGGGGAAATCAAGAGCTGGTCCAGTCCAAGGCCTCTCTTCCCCTCCACCTGTCCACCCAGTGCCCACCGGGGAGCCTCGGGCTGGGCCAGCCCTGCTGGGACCCTGTCCCCCTACTCAGGTAGAACTCCATATGTGATGGGCAGAGGGTCCAGGGAGGGGAGAACCGGGAGGCAGGTGCCGGCTGAGCACACACTGGAGCTCATTTCAAGGCTGCAGGGAGAGGGGACCAGAGGCTCAGCTGGGCTGGGGACACGAGGGCCATCTCACAGGGCGGGAGCCAGGGGAGGCGGATCAGCTGGCCCCTCCCTGCAGGACATGAAGGAAGGCCACCTCCATGTGGAAGCGCTTCAGCTACCAGCGCTCCAATCCCAGCTGGGCCTAAGGACAGGGTCAGGTCACAGGCTCACCACTCCCCTCACCCCTGGGCAAGCGACCTGGGTGCAGTCACACACCTAGATGGCGCACCTGCTACACACCCAGGCTACGCGGGGTTTAGATGTAGTACAGCCTGTCACTCCTGGGGACACGATGAGCAAAGCAACAGGAGACTAAATCAAGCCCCGGAGAAAAGGACGTCCCAGGGACGCGGCATACACAGGACGGCTGAGGCCGCTGCCCACGTCCCAGGGCTTGCTGCTTTACGACAAGTCACTTTTATAAGTGGAAGATGCACCCGCCAAAATGATATTAAAAACTCTAGTACAAGCCAGGTACGGTGGCCCACGCCTGCAATCCCAGCGCCTCGGGAGGCTGAGGCAGGAGGATCTTGAGTTCAAAGCCAGCCTCAGCAATTTAGCAAGACTCTGTCTCAAAATAAAAACATAAAAAGGGCTGGGGGTGTGGCTCAGTGGTTAAGCACCCCTGGGTTCCATCCCTGGTACCAAAAAACCCCAACCATAGTAAATGCATAAACCAGTAACGGTCACTATTGTCATTGCCTGGTATCCTGGACAGTGTGCAGGTGTCTATGCTGTGCTTTGAAATGCCAGCAGCACAGCCGATTGTTTCCACCGGCATCACTACGAACATGGAGTACCGTGTCACCACGTTAGGGCAGCTATGACGGTGACAGGAACTTTTCAGCCCCAACAGTTCTTGCAGACTACCTTGGTACACATTGTCTATCTCTGATCAAAATGTCCATTACGTGGCACCGGATGATAGTCCCACAGGTAGAACAGCCCCTAAGAGCCATGCCTGTGTCACTGGGTGGAACGGGTCCCAGCTGTCACCCAAGCCATCACCCTGAGAAGCCCCAGTGGCACTTGCACTCTACCTGGTTTTCGAAGTAATTCTCGACTGCAAACTGGAGGCTGTCGGTGACCCCTTCTCCATCCTCCCTGACGTACAGAACCAGCAGGCGGCCAAGCGGGGCCATGCCAGGGGTCACGACCAATCGGAGAGAGGTCACGCACACGTTGACCTCGGCGGCTGGGGCCGGAGGGGGCTCTGAGATGGGTCCAGAGTGGGACAGGCCGTGAATCAGCCTCTCTCGGGGGACTCTGGCCACCGGACCTTGCTTCAGCCCACCCACACCAGCTCCTGTTCCCATGCTCGGAAGCATCGGGCTCTGCCGGCCTTTCCCAGGCTTCATCCCCAGCCGACGCTGACCGCACCCACTAGCTCAGCCCAGGGTGACCTGGGCTTGCCACCAACTCTCCTGTCTCTGCAGGAGCACGGTTCTGGCTCCAAGTCAACCCACCACCTTCTCCATCGGCAGCAAAGCCTCTGAGTTGCTCAGGCAGTGCCATCTCAGACCCCCCAGGACACCCCTGGCCTCTGACCCCCTCCCTGAGACTGTCCCTGTCCCTCTGGGGCCCGGGACCAGCTGTAGACCTGAATGCCATTGTTGGCTGACCTGAACTGAGTCTCCCACTCCCTCCCCCGGGGTAAAGACCCTCAAAACCCACATTTTATAAAGGATCGTACACATCTGCTGAGGTGTTCCAGAACACACATGTCCACCTTGCAGTGAGGGGACATCTCCGTGCAGCCCCCCAGGGAACGATCCAGCCCCAAGTGTCAGTGGTGCTGAGGCTGAGAAATTCTGCCTTAGCACAAGAGAACCTGTCTATCAGTCAGTCTGTCATCCACCCATCGTTCCATCTAGCTGCCCATCATCCTACTGATCTCTCAGTCTACCCATTTATCTATCAATTATTCCACCCACCCCCCACCCAACATTCTACTCATCCATTCTTTTCCTCTCTCTCCCTCTCTTTGGTGACCTTGACCCCCAGGAATGGTGGCCATGGGTGGAGACCTGTAGGTCGTCACACTAGGGTGGGGATTGGTACTCCTGGCATCGAGTGGTACCAGTTGCTGCTCAGCAGCCCACGGTGCTCAGGACGGCCCACCCCAGAGAGTAATCTGGCCCCAGATGTCCAGGTGCCCAGGTTGGGACCCTGCTTTGGGCAGAAGAGGAAGGGGCTTGGGAAGCCCCTGGGAGTAGAGTCGGGTAGTGGGGAAGGACCCACATGCAGGGACGGCCTGGGCAAGGAGACTTCAGGCCCACCCGGGTGGTGCAGGAGCCCCTGTGGCTGGCCTGCCTGTCCCTGCGGACACCCAGAGCCAGCAGGTCCCCAGGTTCAGTGAACCTCCCCATCCCTGTCTGGAGACGTTTGCCCTCCGCCCCAGCAGACGCCCATCCCCTGGGCCCTGGCTGCGCCTGGCCTTGCTAGGGCTCCTGTCTTGGTGGCTCGGGGAGGAGAGCAGGAACCTTCTCCCGCTGCCCAACTCACCCGTCTCCGAAAGGTGCGTCAAGCGAATGGGCTTCTCTGGAGCCGGGGCTGCCCGCCTGCTCCGCTGCAGGGTGATGTGGGCGGGCTGCTGGCCGGAGAGCACGATGTTGCCCCGAGCGGCCACCTCGTAGTACAGGGTGAAGTTACAGGGACACGTAGACTGCACAGAAAAACGGGCCTCCTCCCCAACCTGGGGGGAGACGGCAGCGTCAAGGTCAAGGTCACAGCCCCCCCCAGGGACCAGAGGTGGAGAGCCAGCCCCGCACCAGACCCTCTGGGGCCAGTGCTGGCTGGCGTCCAGTGTGCCGACCAGTGTGACAACAGCGTGAAGCCCGGGGTGAGAGGTCATAGAGCCTGGCTCGAGGGAGATGTGGCCTCTGCAGTTCCTGCCGTCCCCTCGGCCCTCGGAGTGACCTGCCTGGCCTGAGGGTCGGTGTGTGCCTGTGTCTTCAGTCACCATGTGAGCGTCCTGGGCCCAGTGTTATCAGCTTGACCTCTCGGGGGACAGGAGCCCGGGGCAGCCTTCCAGGTGGACAGTCGGGTGGACAACTGAGCCCTAATGAAAACTGGTGGGCAGTACCTAACTTCCCGGGTGCAGATCTCAGCCGAGGGCTGGGCTTCTCTCCGATAGCCACTCGATGACTTAACTCCTGTCATAAGCCCCGGGTTTCCAGAAGGGAAACCGAGGCTCGGTCCCTGGCCCAACATCCGTGAGAGCCGGGGAGGACTGGCAGCCAGGACAGCTGATACCGCAGCATTGACCCCGAGGCTGCCCCCACTCACAGCTGCTGCCCCCCAGGTCCCACGACCCCTGAAAGTCCAGGTGACAGCTGCATTCACACAGGGACGCAGCTGGGCGTGGTGCTGAGAGGTGGGCGATGGAGGCCCCCAACGCTGCCCCGGGCCAGAGCCAGGAGAGGCCAGCAGAGCCCCTGGACCAAGCATTAGCACACCTGCCCTCAGTGCCCGGGAACTGTGCCTGGGCCCCTGGTGGCAGCCTAGCGGGGAGCCGGGGAGCTGGGACGTGCTGATCTGGGTCAGGCGGGGGGCGGTGACACGCTGAGAGCAGAATCCCAAGGCTGCGAGAACACGGGGTTCCGCCTGCCCCCGAGAGGGAGGCCACCAGCAGGGTCCCACCAGACACCGCTGTGTGACAGCATTACAGTAAGAACAGCGTGTCCCGCCAGGCGGGCACAGTCCCATCCGAGTCTCTCTGCCACTCCTGCAGCGGGCCGTCAGCCCCTGGGCACGGGCGGCCTCGGCGCCATGACTCCTGTGAGCTACGCCCCGCGGGTCCCTCCACCCTCGGAAGCGGAGCCAGGGGGTGTGGACGGGCCTGGCCCCGCAGCCACCGAGGCGACTGGTTTCCATCAGGGACAGAGCCTCTGCCAAGGCCGGGTGCCGCTCCAGCTGGGGGCCCGCCAGGAACACGCCCGGCAAAGCCAGAGAGTGGCGCCTGCGGCCACGGAGTTGACAGGGGGTGGCAGCGACACGTACGTGCGTGTGAACGTGCACACATCTGTGTGGCTGCACACTCGGGCACAGGTGTACATGTATGCACAGACACCGAGATCCTAACCATACAACACAGCCGGTCACTCCTGAGGGACGTGCTCTGCACACAGACACGGACAGAGGGGACACACACACACACTCTCGGGTGCTCCTCCATGAGTACAGGCTCTTCCCTCTTCTATGGAAGGATCTCTCTCTAGATACACAAATTTGCCCCTCAGTACCCTTGGGGACCCCCCATAACCAAGTGTGCCGATGTTCAAATGCCTTGTGTGAAATGGCACTTGATTGGCACAGAATCTACCCCCGCCTCCCGGGGACTCTAATTATCTCCAGATCACTCAGAAAATCTCGTAAATACTGCGTACACAGTTGCCAGGCCGTATTGCCCAGGAGATGGGGACAAGAAAATACGTTTGTATGTGCTTAGCACCGATGCACTGTTCCCCCGAAATATTTTTTAATATTTTTAGTTGTAGATGGACACAAAATCTTTATTTTGTTTATTTATCTTTATGTGGTGCTGAGCATCGAACCCAGGGCCTCACACGTGCCGGGCAAGTGCTCTACCGCTGAGCCACGGCCCCAGCTCCCCCACATATTTTTGATCTGAGGTTTGCTAGATCTGTAAAACCCCTGGATACAGCATTCGTGGGTACAGAGGGCCGCTGTGGACACTCACACACACACACACACACACACACACACACACACACACCCCTACGTATCCCATTTTCCATTGAGGGTGAACGGGAAGCATATATCCTTCAACAGGCAAGTGAGCATGTGTGCATACAGGAGCAAGCATATGTGTGCATATGTACATCCAGACACAAGTCTACGTGCACACATATGTGAACTCATTGTGCATGTACCCGTGTGCACCCCCACACACGTCCACATATTCCTCAGCAGATGAGTGACAACCCACTGCACATCATCATACAAGGAACACTATTCAATGATGGGAGGAAATGAGCCCCAAAGCCACCAAAGACACAGAGAAGCCACCAGGGCACCTGGCTAAGTGGAAGCAGCCGACCTCTGAGGCCACACCCTGCAAATGCAGCTCGAGGACACTCTGGGAAAGGCCAGACACACTAAGGGGTCTGACTGGCGGGCAGGGACGGATGGTTGGGGCCCTGGGGACTTTAGGGCCGGGAAACTGATCGGATGACTCCGTGACGGTGAAGACAGGGCGTCACGCATTTGCCAAGATCCACAGAATGTTCAACCAAAGAGTGACCCACGTCAGCCGCGGACGTTAGTTGATGATATGGTATCGATACCCGTTCATCAACTGCAATGGGCATCGCGTTCTCGCAAGATGTCAACAACAGGAACACTGGAGGGCGGGCGGAGGGGGGCACGGGAACTCTTGGTACAGTTCACTCAACACCTTTTAAACCTGAAATCCCTTTTAAAGTTAAGTCTGTTGATTTGATAGAGTTTTTTAAGACTACCCACACATAACAGCAGACCCGGGAGGAACTAACATGAGACACAACTCCAAGCTCATCTCGTCTTTGCACTTAGCATATCTGCGAGTTTCTGGGTGGAGAACGCCCCAGGGCCTTTGCACAGGAAGACTGCAGCGGTGGAGCCGTCCCAGGCACCACAAGTGGTGTCCCCAGCAGTGAGCCCTGGGTCACAACCTAGATCCCCCCAGAATAAAAGATCGCGCAGCTTATTCCACAGACTATGCCCTTGCTGGAGGGGTAGAGAACCCCCGCCCCACGGGCCTTGGTGTTAAGTCCCCGGAGCTCAGGGGTGCTGCTGCGAGGAAGGGGGGCTCCTGGACACCTTACCTGCAGGGGACGCGAGGGCGGCTGTAACTGCAGGTGGCACTGACTGGGGGAGTACCAGCTGCCAAGGGCGAGGTAACTGGGCAGGTACTGGACCCCCACGGGCTTCCCGTCCAGTGCCGTCACCTTGGTCTGAAGAACAGAGAACACACTTGGTCAAGGTCAGGGCGCCCAGCCTAGGAAGGGGGTCTTGGGTCTGCTTCTCCCTGCCCTTTGGGGTCCAGCGTGGCCAGCCCGTTTCCCCCCAGTTCCCAGAAGCGCGTGCTGAAGGCTGGCCCAGGGGTGCTGGGCATCAGCTTGGGCAGCGCGTGGAGCCCGACTGGACTCCAAACCCCAGCTCCGACAGGGACGTGCTGGAAAGCCCCCGTCTCTCCTCCTGAGCTTGCTAACCGCCCTCGTGGCTTCTCAGAGGGGAAAACCCACTTGGTGGATCAACACGGGAGCAGCCATGTTGGGTGGCGCCCCAGGCTGGGACCCAGCTGGCCCTGCTCCTGCACACCACCAGCCCCGGTGACGGGGTGACTTTTGCTCCTCTGGCTGGGATCACAGGCTACTGAGCCCGGCTTCTGGAATATTCGTGATCTGCGCTGACTGAATCTGCAGACGCAGGGCCTGCAGACCCTCGGGCCAACGGCTGCGTCCCTGAGCCCCGGCCCCTGTCCTAACTCCGTCTTTATAAGGTGGTGGGGGAGCGGAAGCCCTGAATTTGCAATCAGCTCAGAAGTGGCCCAGGGACCCCAGGCCCTGTGGCCGGCGTCTGGATGGAGGGCATCTGTGGAGGGCTGTGCCCGTGACCCGAGCCGGGAGCCCGATTCTGAGGTCACGTGACCTCCCACCTGGAGGGCAGGCGGAGGGGCGTCTCTGGTCCGTCTGTGACCTCAGAGGCCTCAGGCTCTGGTCACTCCCTCACTGTCCCACGGGACCGTGGTCACAATGACAGGCCACTGTGCTCTGTGCTGAGTGGCCGAGAAGCACGGACACCCCTTGCTGAGGACGTCCCTTGGTAAATTATGTGACTTTGGTGGCTAAGGTCCTTAAGGACACGTTGCTCACAAGAGGACAAAGGGACCACAGTGTCCGCAGTCCCCACGGCTCGTGGGACAGTCACTGAGCCCGGGCTGGGACGCCTTCCTCTGTCGCTGTCTTCCCTCCCTTGCTGAGGGGACCCTGATCCTGCCAGCTCCCCTCCTCTGCAGTCCCAGTTTGGTGGCCTCCAGCCTGCAGGTGCCTTCCTTGCTCATTCCCTGCTACGGGCTCTTGAGTGACAGCTGTCTGTCGAAATATCGGCTCCTTGGGCCGGGCTGGGGCTCAGCGGTAGGCGCTTGCCTAGCACGAGTGAGGCCCTGGGTTCGAGTCTCAGCACCACGTAAAAATAAATAAATATCCAACAACAACGAAGAAAACACCTTACACCATCAGCCCTTCCGTCAACGTGACAGCACCCTTTTGAGGTAGGGACATTCCACTGGTCCCCTTTCCCACCTCTTTCTAAAATGGCTCGTCTGGCCAAGCACTTGTAGAACCCCACAAAAGGCCTCCTCTGAGCCTCCGCACATGCTGTTCCACCTGCTGGGAGCAGCCTGGCTGGCCCTGCCACGGCCAGGAGTCCACCTGGGGGGACACCCCGTGTGACCGAGCCAGGCACCTGCCCCCCTGCCTTCCTCCCACGGATGGTGGGGTTCTCTGTCCCCCTCCAGCTTGCACAGCCCCTCCCGCCCAGCCCAGAGGAGCGCTGTGGTTGGGGGACGGGGCCTGGGGACTCACCCACCTCTAGCCACACTCGCTGGGCCGACGTGGGGATGGAGGGGATTTCGAACCGCACGAGCCCACCCTGGGACAGGAACTCGCGGGTGTAGATGTTGTCCCTGGGCATCAGCTCCGCCTTGACCTGCACCGTCACGCCCTGGGCTGGGCTGCCGTCGGGGTAGGAGAGCTCCACCTGGAACAGGTCATCAGAGAGGCTGGGGGCAGCACCGGCAGACGCTCCACGCTCACCTCGCCACGCAGGTGCACTCCCCCCGCCACGCAGGTGCGCTCCCCACACGCTGCCATCCGTGGTGATGCGTGTTGGTTGCTTTCTTTTGCGGGACTGGGAACTGAGCCCGGGGCCTCACGTATTCCAGGCAAGTGCTTCTACCACGGAGCCACCTCTCCAGCCCCAACCACCATGATGGGGCACCAGCCCGGGGACCCTGACTGATCTGCTTATGAATGAGACCAGCTGATCTTGAGCTTTAGCCTCTAAAACTGTGATGTTAAAAAAAAAATAACAAAAAAAACTTTTTCTTTATGTTCCCAGCCTCAGGTCTCAGGTATTTCATTACAACAACTGAAAACTGACTCGTGCCACATATATCCTCTTGGTCAGGTGTGAGATGCTGCCCTCACCGAAGCTGCATCCTCTGAGCCCTTATTCATACACATTCTGCGTCCACACAAAGTATGCGACCTCCTACTCACACTGGGCTCTTCAAGTGAGGAGGGGCACACGAATTCATAGGGACTAAATAAACAATAACTAAACGCTCAACATGCGGATTAATGCCAGAGGTTCAAGAATGACACTCTACAGGGGATAAAGCTGGTCACACGCTGCCTGAGTTTGGAGTCACCGATAGACCACGTAGGTGCAGTGGTCCCACAAGCTGCCAATCCCCATGCCTGGTGGTGTCACAGCCGTGGGGACATCGTGATGTGACACCTTCTGTAGTTTTATGGTGGTGTTGGTGTCAGCGAACCTACTGATGTCAGGCCTACGAAGTCACCCATGTCAGCCAGACACGGTGGAGCACACCGTGGTCCCCGAACTCAGGAGGCTGAGGCAGGAGGGCTGCCAGTTCAAGGGCGGCCTGGGCAACTCGGCGGGACCCTGGCTCAAAATCAGAACGAAAGCCCAGCACATGCAATAGGTGCCTCGCACTGGGTCAGCGCACCGAGGGACGTCACAGGTGTGGATTCACCTGGCCTTTCCGTTGCTGTCTCAGCGCGCAGTCTTCCTACTTATAAAGTAAAAAGTTTACTATAAAAGCAGCCTCAGGAGGCCCCTCGGGAGGGATCCCAGAAAGCACTCTGTTGTCATAGGATAGATCCCTGTGTTCCTGCCCCCAGAGAACTTCCGGTAGCAGATGTGGGGGTAGAAGATGGCGTCTTAGTTTTTATCATTTACTTCTTTTGCATACTGGGGATTGAACCCACAGGTGCTCCACCCCTAGTGCTTTTCAGTTTTTAAATTTTGAGACAGACTCTAAGTTGCTGAGGCTGACCTCAACGGTACAATCCTCCTGCCCCAGCCTCCCGAGTGGCTGGGATGCCAGGCGTGTGCCACCGCGTCCAGCACGTCTCGGCTTTGAACAAAAATGTTTAAAAACTAAAGGGGAGAAAGTGAAGCATCCCAGTGTCAAAAGGCAAACTACGCCAGTGTAGCCGGGGGACCTGTCTTCAGCTCAGTCCCCACTGTGGGGCGGGGGGAGGCTCAGGCACGTTCCCCGAGGTACCTTCCCCACGTAGGCCAGGCCTGGCTTGAACTGTCTCCGCGTGTCCCTGGAGTAGCGGACGTCCACCAGCTGCCTCTGGACAGGGGTGGAGTCGTCGAAGGCCACCTGCTGACTCCCATCCACACTGGTCACTGTGGCCCAGATGCTGACCCTGCCCCGGAAGTGCTCGGGAACGTCCACCGGGATCAGGTCCCTCACGCAGATGTCAAAGGCCTGGGAGCCCAGGATCTAGAGGAGGAGAAACACAGTGCATGGGGTGGACACGGAGGACGCCACGCGCACCCTGGGTCACACCCAGGCCTCCCGGCTGCTGGGACGACCCTGGAGACAGGCCCACGGTGCCCCTGGCCGAGAGGCCGGCTCCAGCCTGGCCCCGAGCCTTCCTCGTGAGGACGACAAGCTGCTCGGCCACTTCCACTCGTTGCCCAGACAGAGACGGACCATCCCCGTGGGCCCGGGCGCACTCACAGCCAGTGATGGGAGACGGAGGCCCCGTCCACACACGCGTGTGACACACACGTGCGTGAGTGCGAGCACACGCGTGTAGGCCTGTCCGTGGGCGTGTGGTCTCCATCACGATCAACCCTCGCTCGGCCCCACGCCCCCACTCAGAGCCCAGCGCTGCCCCCGCGGCCCCCACGCTGGGCACCCTGGAGCCTGGTGGCAATCGACGCCCAGAAATAGCTGGGACCAAGTCACTCGGGACATCAGAGACCCAGGACCAGGGCCACCGGGCGGCGGCCTCTGGGGAGAATGGCCAGACTGGGCAGGGAAGGGGTAGCGACTGTGTCCATCCCACAGCATCGAGGCCGCCAGAGAGAGGGGGCCGCACGGGGCAGCTGTGTCCTGAGGAAGGAGCTTTAGGTGGGGTGGGGGGGAGCGGGCACTGAGGGGTCAACCCCCACGTCCACGCACAAGGGGTGTCCTGTGCATGGGACCCTGGGACACAAGGGGATTTATCAGTGCCAGAGGCGCCGTCAGAGGTGGAAGTGCCCGGGAGGTGCCCCTGGGGGGCACGGTCCACCCACAGCGCAGCCCTGGCTGAGGGACAGCTCGCGAAGCTTTCCACACGGGGGGACAAGACCTTGTGCCTCACTCTGGCGGATCCTCCAAGACTGAACTCAGCGTGACCTGAGACCGGGCAAGTCCACCCTGAGGTACGCCCAGGATGAGCCACGACACGTCCACAGGAAAAGAGCACATGGACGGTCACAGCAGCAGGGGAAACGGGTTTGGGGTGCAGCTTAGCGGTGCTCACAGTGGAAACGACCCAGTGCCCGCCAGTGGAGGGGGGGTGGACCCACGGCGGCAGATTCCTACAGTGGAATGTTACTGAGTCATGAAAAAGAACGAAGCCCAGACTCAGGCTACAGCATGAACGAGCCTGGAAAAGGAGACGCTGAGTGACAGAGGCCACACACAAAAAGCCACCTAGCGGCGTGTAATGCCATCGACGTGAGGTGTCCAGAACAGGAGGTCCACAGAGCTGGGGAGTCGAGGAGTGGTCGCCAGGGGTGGGGGAGGGGACCGGCACTAACTGTAAAGGGAACCGGGATTTGGGAGACGGTAAAGAGTCACTCTGCCGTCCACGGTCCTTCAGCCCCGGACTCCACCAACTGCAGGTGGACAGTATTGTTTTATTTAATTGCACACGTGCTGAACACAGACTCCCTTTCTGGGCATCTGTCCCTGAGCAATGCCACTGTCCCTGAGCAATGCCCAGAAGGGCCACGCACTCGGCACCTGCATCACGCCGGGTGTTTGAAGCCATCACAGGTGACTCCGAGTCCACGGGAGGACCCGCGGGGACCCGCCAGGCTTCTGAGCCAACAGGACACTGTTTTGCAGAAGGGGCTGGGGCGTCTGGTGGACTTTGGAATTAGCAGGGGGCAGTTCCTGGGGCCATCCCAGGCAGAGACACGGGACAACCGCGTTCTAAGCCAGAAAGCCGTGACGGCCGCACCACCCGGGGACAGCAGATGGGGCCACCTCCCGGGCAGCCCAACCTGAATCCGCCTAGCCCCCCTTCAGGGCACTCACGGGTACTGTCCCGGAGAGTCCCCTAACCCGAAGCCTGATTTCTAATTGAGCACGGCCAGTGTCGTGCACTTTCTCAAATTCAGCGTGCAATTCAAAACACAGGAATTATTTATTTCTGAACGTGGGGAACGTGACAGTTGCTGGTGTTGCCTTCACTACCCTAAAATGTCAAAAAAAAATCGTGACTCAAACCATCGTAAACCGGGGACTGACTGTATCCAGAAAAAAATCACTGAGCCGCGTCTACTCTGTGGACGAACTGATGGGTGTGGGAGTCACAGTATCTCATTAAAGCTCTCCCTATTCAAGTTGTCTGTGCGACATTCGGGGGAGCCCATCCACATGTCCACACAGACAGTCCTGCCTGTCGGAAGCCTTTACTGTCTTCGTTTTTATGATGTTTCAAGCCTCTGCTCTGCTGACGCGAACCACGTCAGGAAATCCCCACCACGCAGCTTTCTTAGACGATAAAATGAAATTTACGAGGAAGAAACTGAAGCCGTGGAAAGGGACCACCGAGCCAGCCCCGCGGGCCCTGCTCCTCACCTTCGTGGTTCTGAGGACGGGGCGCCCCACCTCGTGGCTGTAGTACCCCACTCCGTCCACAGTCATGTTGATCGTTAAGGTCCCGGACACGGGCTTCCCAAAGGTGTACCTGGGACAAAAGGACAAAGGGCACCCAAATTCACAGGCGACCCCCAGGGGCCCATCTCAGGAAGGTCAGTCTCGCAGGTTCTGCATTCTGTCCTTCCAGCCCTCTCTGTAACTCTCTGCACCAGCTTTGCTTTTGATGGAAATAGAGACAGATGGTCAGAGAGGAACTCAGCCCCTGGGAGCAGCAGGTTGGTGACACGGTTGGAGCAGGACAGTTCAGAGGTGCCAGCAACCACGAGGACCAGCAGGACTGGGCTTGAGTTCCGTAAGCCATCGGCCTGGGGATACTGGTGAGACCTAAAGGTACCTTGTCATCACTGACCCAAAGGGACGCCTGCTCACCAGGAACAGGGACATCATGGGAGACGGCAGTGAGTGCAACACTTCCTGGACTGTAAACGTGGGCGCACTCGGGCTGTCATCGATGGGGACACACAGCCAGGGGAGCTGCAGGCTGGAGGGCCTCAGCCACCACCTCTGGGCGGGTGGCCCACTTGGGGTGGGGTGGGGCAGCTCTAGGGTGTCCCCCGCACCCCAGGAAGAGAGAGCACTTCTCGACCTCTTCAGTGAGCGTGGGCTGTGGCTTGTCACCGCCGGGAGGCAGGAGAGGGACAGGACACCCCTTCCTCCAGGGGTGGGGACACCTGTGGGGGGGTGCTGGGGGAGGCCCGTGGGGGGCTGGGAAAGGAAGCTGCTCCAAGGGAAGGGGCTGCCGGGGCAGGAGAGGGGGCAGCATCAGGAGGGCTCGGCAGCGAGGGAAGGGGACAGGAGGGACCCGCAGGGCCCTGGTCCTCACCTGGCCTGCACGGTGGCCTTCTCACAGGCGTCCAGGTCTCGGATGTACGGGGGAGGGGCGATCAGGAGCTCAAACCTGGGCAGCACTGACCGAGCGAGAGGAGAGACGTGGTGACTCACCTGCGTGGCCTCAGGAACCCAGGTCTGGGGACAAGAGCAAAGCCGCCCGCCGCCCCCTCCCCGAGGGGACGATGCACGCGTCCACCTCCCTCCGAGGAGCGGCCTGGGGACTGGGCTGGCAGGCACCGCTCCGCCCGGGAGGTCAGGGAAGGTGGGCTTGGAGGTGCTGATCCCGGCCCGTCCAGGGGAGGCCGAGTGGCCACGGGGAGCCTCCCTGTCCCGACGCCTCCCGGGGGCCACTGAGGGCTGTCTCTAGGATGACGGCCACCGGGGCCAGGCCCTCTCCCGGCTCCCTGGCACTGGGAGCCATCCTGTCACCCTGCAGCCAGGGGAGGGGCCACCACCTGGGACCAGCACCCAAGATGCTAGACAAAGGGACGATTCACATCCAAGGCAGGGGATGTCATCACCACCCAGAGTGACCTGCCATTTAAAATGGATGAGCTCTTTACTTCTGGAATTTTCCACACACTATTTTCATTCTGTGGCCGACCTGCAGGTGGCGCTGTGGGTGACGGGAGCCACACCCACTCCCTGCCGTGGCCAAAGGGCATTTGCACTGGCGGCTGGCGCCTGCGGCCCTTAGCCAGACGGCCAGGGCCTCCTGCAGGGACAAGGCCTTCCCCTTTTTCTTTTTTTAATTAAAAAAATTTTTTTTTTAGTTGTGGATGGACACGGTCCCCTTATTCTAGGTCTTCTTTCCCTGTGGTGCTGAGGATGGACCCAGAGCCTCCCACGGGCCGGGCAAGCGCTCCGCCCCTGAGCCACGGCCACAGCCCCCTGCTCAGCACAGGAAGCCCACAGAGCATCCTTACGAAGGGAACCCAGCTCCTGCTGTCAGCCTAAAACTGTTTCCGTAGCACGTTTGTTTGGTGAAGTGTCCCTAAGTCACCAAGAGGAGACTCAGGCCTACGGGAGGGTGAGTGAGGTCCAGGCAAAACCACACAAATGTCCACATGGGCTCGAGAGCATGGACTTGGGTGTCCCCAGGGACCCTGGAACTGACCCCTGGGCTGCACTGTCAGGCTCCACTCCTGTGAGGTCCCTAGAGTTGTCACATTCATGGGGACCCAAAGTAGAAGGGTGGTGAGCAGGGGCCGGGGGAGGGGTGCGAGGGTCCAGAGGGGACAGTATGTCAGGGAAGTCGGAACAGCTCAGGGGCTGGAACTGGGTCAGGGCTGTGAACCCTGGGAATGGATTTAATGTCCCCTCATTGGCCACTGAGAAATGGTGACAGTGGCCAATTTCCTGTTATGTATCTTTATCAGCCACACTTAATTTGGGGGGGATACCAGGGATTAAATCCAGGGGCACCTGACCACCGAGCCCCGTCCCCAGCCCTATTTTGTGTTTTATTTAGAGTCAGGGTCTCACTGAGTTGCTTAGGGCCTCGCTGTGGCTGAGGCTGGCTTGGAACTCTCTATCCTCCTGCCTCAGCCTCCCCAGCCGCTGGGATTTCAGGCCTGCGCCCGACCGGCTCAAATAATTTTTAACAGGACCAGCACCTGCTCAGCAGCTGAGGAGCCCTGGTGACTGGGGATGGCGCCTCCTCCAGCCGCTTCCTCCCTCCCCCCAGACGAGGACCCCCAGGTCTGAGCGTCCCCCCTTACCGTACTTCTGGACCTCAAAGGACCTGTTGTACAGGTGGCCCTGCGTCTCCACAAAGACGGACCACTGCCCCAGCACGGGCTGGTCGGACAGGGGAAAGCTCATGTTGGTGACGCCTGCCAGGAGAGAGACGCCCTTCGTGCTCCGGGGGACCTTGGCCGAGAGCCACAAAGGGGCCCAATCACTGTGGCCAGCAGTGACGTCCAGGAAGGGGGACCCTGGGACCCGGCTCCTCCCCCTCCCTGGCGGCCACCCAGGGCCAGGGGTGGGTGTCTGTGGGGGCAGGACGTGCAGGGCGGCCAGGGGAGCAGGCCCTCAGCCCCCGCAGGACCAGGCTGCCCCTCAGGTTCCCGGAGGCGCCCTGCAGCCAAAGCCGGGCCCCCGCAAGGGAGATGGCGGTCCGCTCCCCAGCTCGGCCCCCACCTGTCGTTCCCAGCTGTGGCCGAGACACCCAGGGCGGGCGGTTCTCTGTGCACTGTGGGGTGTGGGACAGCGTCCCTCACCGTCCCCCCAGATGCCAGGTCCCAACCCCCAACATGACGACCTAAGAAGTCACCAGTATCTCTGGGGGAGGGAAGTGGGTCCCGGGTGAGAATCACTGAGACACGTGGATAGGATGATAAGGGGGTGACAGACAGACGACGGACAGACAGAACAATGGGCGGCGGATCGTCAGGAGAATGGACGGAATCGTTGATGGGTGACAGAGCCGTGGAGGGGTGGACAGACGGACAGAGGAACACAGCTGAGAGGGAGAAGGGACCACGGGTCACAGGTAGAGGATAGGCAGATGGACAGATGGACAGAGAGGTAGATGACAGCTAGCCTCCGAGTTGGGACCTAGAATGTGCTCAGAGGGGGTCCGGGGAGCAGTGGACACCGAGGGCTTCAACTTCATCAGCAGCAGAATCCACTGATGGCGGAAGGGTCTCCTGGAAGGTGAGACCCGGGGGAGGAAGCAGGTCCCCGGGGGCCAACTGCTGGGAGGAAGAGAAACCGCCCAGCAGGGGGGATGCGGGCAGCTGGGGAAGGTGGAAGCCACGGGCAAGTGTCCCGGAAAGATCTGGAGCCCCCGGTGGATCCTGGCCACCCAGAAACGAGCTGCAGACCCCAGGGAGCAGGGGCAGGCCAGCACTCACCGCAGCACGGCGCCTTCAGGTACCGCCACTCCACCACCCGAGAGCCGCGGGGGTCCTGCACGGGCAGGTGCAAGGGCGGGCTCAGGGCAGCGGGTCTGTGCCCGACGGGGGACCCTCCCCGGCCCTCGCAGGCATGAGTGCAGGAAGGGCGGCTGGGGAAGGGGCTCTCTGAGGACTAGGGGCAGAAGGGGCCGCGCTGAGACCCCTGCTGTTGAGGGAGCTGTGTGCAGAGGGACACGGAGATGGGGTGACCCAGGGACCAGGATGGGCTGGGCCCCCTCTGTGAGGCCCTGGGGCGGGTGGGGAGGGTCCACAGGGGGACGGTGGGTAACACAGACCCCACCCTGCAGAGGGCAGGCTGCGGCCCCCATCAGAATCGGGGAGGGTGGTGGCCACTCACCAGGACGTACGCGTCCACCTGCAAGACAGACACAGGGCCGTGAGCACACCGGCCAGAAGGCCCCAAACCTCCGTGCCTGATGGTCTTCAGGCCCAGTGGCTGTTACAGGATGAATTTTGTCCCCCCAAAAGGTTGAAGTCGGCTCTGATTGTCGGTGGCTCGTCACCCCCAAAGACTTACATTGAAATTTAAGGCCCTATGTAATGGGGTCAAGAGGGCGTGGGACTTTAAAGGGCGGTTGGGTGCGCGGGCTCCACCTTCCTGTTTTCCTGGGGGTGGGTTGGTTCCTGGGAGACGCGTGTTCTTAAAGGTAAGTCTGGTCCCTCCCCTTCTCTTGCTTCTTGTCTCACCACGTGGCCCCTGTCTCTTGAACACTGTCACCATGTGATGCCATCTGCCCTGCTGTGACATAGCCAGGAGACATCCCCAGAGGCCGGATCTTGGACTATAAGCTCCCAAAACTATGAGCTAAATAAACCCCCTTTTAAAAAAAACAAAATACCCAGCCTCAGGTATTTTGTTATAGGAACACAAAATAGACTAAAATAATAAGTTTGCACAAAAATGAGAGCAAGTGCCTAAGAGTATCCAGTGAAGCCTGACATGGCGCCTCACACCTGTCATCCCAGCAACTCTGGAGGCTAAGGCAGGAGGATCACAAGTTCAAGGTCAGCCTCAGCAACTCAAGAGATTCTGTCTCAGGATCAAAAGGGGCTGGGGGCGTGGCTCTGTGGTAGAGCGCTTGCATTATTTTCTCGGGTATGAGTCCCAAGGCAGGATCCGAGCCTGCTCTTCTTGGTGACATGCCCAAGCTGTAGGGCCAGCCTGGCCCACAGCAGGCAACTCTCCCCCATTCCCCTGGGGATTCCTGAGCTGCAGGTGCCACCGGGCACCTTCACGTCTCTGCCCTGTCTACGCACACGTCACTTAAACTCTTTCTGTGCCGTTTCCAAGCTCCTTCCTGCAGCAGAATGACAACTGATCAACGCAGAAGGGACACGAGAGTCACCAACATCACCACCGTGCCATTAGGGCAACGTGATCTGTGACCTGGGGACGCTGGAACTATTGGTGAGCCTCTGAGGGGGGGCCAGGTGTCCATGAGATCTCAGGCGTCCCTTCACTGATTAAGGACAAAGGGACAATGGGGACTTTGCAGAGGAGAGGCCAAGCAGAGGCTCCCCAAGCCACAGGGGACACCCCAGCATGGGACGGGCCCACGTCAGGGTCTCCTGTCCGTTGCACAGGGACGTCCATCCCCCTTCCTGCTGAACCTGCTCTCCAGGAGCGGACAGGCCAGTCTCCCGGAGGACAGGCGGCAAAGCGGCTGCCTGGACGCTCCAAAAGCGGCATCGTCATCGTGGTGGACACACGACAGAACGAGAAGCTTGAATGCCGCCCGGATCCAGCCTCGGAGTCTCGGCCGGCAAAGAAACGCGGCAGAGAGGTTGTCACTGGGCACCTCGGGTTCTCTATCCCTGTTATTGTACCAGTGTCAACATTTTTTAAAGTAACAGTTTTGGTTTTTTTTCCCCCTTTGGACAGGGGATTGAACCCAGGGCACTTGACTTCTAAACTCCACCTCCAGCCCTTTCTTATTTTTTATTTTGAGACGGGGTCTTGCTGTTTCTTAGGACCTCGCTAAGTGGCTGAGGCTGGCCTTGAACCTGGGAGCCTCCTGGGATGCTGGGACCACAGGCACGTGCCACCCGGCCGCTGTTCTTGGGTTCTTAAAGGATGCAGGCAGTCGCATTCAGGGGTAAGGAGGGACAAGGGGGAAGTGCCAGGTGTGCTCAGGTGTGCTCAGGTGTGCTCAGGTGGGCTCAGGTGTGCTCAGGTGGGCTCAGGTGTGCACTTTCAGAGAGCAGTCTCACCTTCCCATCGACAGGCCTCAGGTCTGGGGACACGGTGAAGACGCTGATGTGCACTGGAAGGAAGAGGAGAGACCGGGGCAGCTCCAGGCCACGCCCCCCTCCCCGCCCCCACCGCCCCGCGGACCACCCACCTCGGTGCTGGGGCCTGTAGACGGGCTTGTCGGTCTGGATGAACACAGAGGCCCCTCGGCTGTCCACCGTCACCGAGGTCTGGTTGTGGAAGAGGGTGCCCTCTTCCGCCCACGGGCTGTGGCCCTGCACCCTCAGGAGCGCCTGGCCGCGGAGGCCCGTGGGGACCTAGGAGCAGAGCACACAGCCCCAGGATTAGGGGTCCCCCTGGTCGGGGCGGAGACGCTGGGAAAGCAGCTTGGAGATCTAGAAAGGGGGCGCTCACCTGGAGTGACTGCTCCCCAGGGGACAGTTTCTGGAGATGTTTGGGGGGTCCCATGGCCCCCCAATGCAAAGAAGGACCCTCGCCACCTGACAGCAGCTCTGTGGCTGAGAAACGCTGGCCTAGGCCGGAGCTGCCGTGTCCTCTGCGACACCACACAGTCACCGAGCTCTGACTCACCACGGGGGAGAGCTAGAAGAACCATCCCCCGTTTTCCCCAGGTGTGTTCACCGTGGGGGACAGGGGACAGGGACACAGAGCCCCGCCCCCGTACACAGACACACGTATGTGCGCTCGTCATCCTCGGTGTCGAGGGGCTTGGGTGCCAGGACTCCCCAGGAGACCCCAATCCAGGGGTGATCAAGCCCTTGGATAACGGAGCATAATATCTGCACAGCATCTCCCTGCTCTCTCCCTGGGACTTCAATCCTCTAGAGGACTCGCGCCTCCTCAAACAATGTGACCGCGATGGACGCAGTTGACTGACTGAACTATCAGGAAATAATGACAGAAATATCTGTACACATTGGGTGCAGAAGCGATTTTTTGTTCAAGTATTTTTAATCCACCATTGGTGGCAGCCGCGGATCTGGAGCCCGCGGTACAGAGGACGGAGGGCGGATATGGAGGGCGGTGGCGGCTCGGGGCTGTATGATATTCCTGAGCTCGGCCTCTCTGGATTCCTCCCTCTAGAACAGGGAGGCCCGGTCTGGGCTGGTATTTCTATGAAGCAGTGAGAACAGGCGGAGCCACGGGGACGGCAGCGGATCCGTGGCTGAAGGGGCTGGGGGACGGGAGGGCAGCGCTGATGGCAGCTCAAAACCGTGTCCCCTTGGTCCTGCCCCTGCATCTCCTTTGGATGAAATGCTCTGAACTATGGAGAGGGGGTCCTAAAGCACCGCGAACGCATCCAGAGCCGTTTTAAAATGGCAAAACAGAAAAGCGGATGGCCCACTTTAAAACGGTGGAAAGAACGGGAGATGTTTTGCCCCATTTTGCAACAACCCCGGGCTGCAGCCTCGCGGGGGCCTGTTCTCATCATCCGGGGGCAGAGGCTTCTCAGTTCTCCTGTTTTTTGGGGCAGTGAGCCCCGGGGGCTCCTTTCAGCTGAAGGCGAACGGGCCTCCCCCCCCCCACGAGGCCCACGGCCCCTCACGGCCCAGGAGCTGGGGTGGGAGCCCCGAGGGCCATCCCAACGCAGGGGCTCCCCTTCCAGGGGCTCACGGCCGCGGCCCCTGGGTGGCCCTGTGGGCGGCTGGACATCGTCCTCCACCACGCACACCACCGGCCACAGCCCCCAGTCCCGGGCACCCGGGCTGGCCAGTCCCTGCCCCGTCCCCAGCCTCCTCCTCCTGCCTGCTCTGGGCAGCTTCAGGGAGGGCCACCTGCCTGCGGCCTTCGGGGCCTGGGGGTGTCTCTAGACTGTGGTTTAGGACCAACCGTGGGGACAAAGCTCACCCCGTACCCCAATCCAGAATCCTTACCTGCCCTGATTCTGGAAACTTCTCCACTGAGGCCAAAGGCCACAGAGAGGAGAATGTGCTGGCCACCTGGGGACGGGGCTCGGAAAGAGGGGGCGGGGGCTGCTCCTCCAGACGACTCCGCTTCCTTCCCGGGACCCGGCCGTCCCCTGGGAGAGAAGACGGGGTTCCCCTGCCCTCCTGTGCACAGTGACCCGTGGGGAGAGAATGGGGACGCCCTCCAAGGTCTTTCTAGAATGTTCCAGACAGCAGATCCCCCTGCTGTGACATGGATAGGGTTTGACCACATCCCCTTCCTGTGCTGGAAGCTTGGTCCCCAGAGCGGACATGTTGAGACGTGGGGGCACTCGAGAGGCGGGGCCGCTGGAAGGTCAGTGCGGGCAGCGCTCTTGGGCCTCAGGTCCGTTTCCACAAGGGGACGCTGGCATAGCGTAAGCCTGGCCTTTGACTCTCTGGCTTCCTGTCTCACACGTGATCTCTCCGTCTGGTACGTGCTCCCACCATGATGTCATCTACATGGTGGAACCCACCCAAAGGGACCTTCACCAGAGTCTGAACAGATGGTGCCCCGATCTTGCACTTCCGGTCTCAAAAACTGTGAGTGAAATAACCTTTTTTCCTTTATAAAGCCGCCAGCCCTGGGTACTTTGTTATAGCAACGAGAAATAGACTGATACAGCCCTCTCTTCCCGACCTCAGGAATCCAGCTTCACTCATTTAACATCGCTGACACCAAAGGGCTTGGGGGCTGAGACCCAAACAGAGGAGACAAGGAAGACTCACCTGCGAGGTGGCCAGGACAAGTTAGTCCGCTGGAGGCCAAGAGCAAAGGTGGAGATTCCAGGGACCAAGGAAGGAAGAGGCTCCTAGGCCCAGGTCCGCTGTGGGAGGGCTGGGTTGGTGGTTATCTCACCCGACTCCAGCCGACGCCCAGAGGTAGCTGACTTTACTCTGGGCCCAGCCCTCCCCCCTGACAGGCCAGGGCAGCCCTCTCAGGTCCAGGTGGGTCTTGAAATAAGGACCCTGTTCTGCCCTCCTCGGGGGTCTGCAGCCTAGCCCACTGCTCCAGCCCATTCCTTGCATGTGGCCCCGGTGACCAAAGGAAGGCAGGCGCGGCCGAGCCCAGAGACCAGAAGCCTCTCCCACCCTCTGCAGGAGCTCTGGGCCAAGGCCGCCTCTCTTTTTCTACTTCCTGCCTCAGGACCTTTGCACTGGCCATCTCTTCTTCCTGGAATGCCTTTCCCCTTGTGACCTCTGCCTACAGGTCACTCTCCCTGTCATGGACAGTGTGGCTCTACTCTGCTACCCCCTCAGCATTCTCTCCCTTCCTCTGCTATATTGTAAAATAAAATCACAGACCTTCCTACTGTGTTCTGACCTGTCCCTCTGCCTGCCACCAGCTGAGCACGTGACACGGAAAGCAGGAACGTGTTCAACTACAGGGACAGCTCCACAGACCTCTGAGAGAGAAATGCCACTCAATGGGCGGATATGTCCAAAGAATCAGAAGGAAGCAAGTATCCCTGGGTTTTAGGTATGCTTTCTAGAAAGTTCTACTGAGAGCCTCTACGCAGCATCTTGCTGCAATTGAGAGGCCGAGACTCAGACTGGACAGGCCTGCCCACAGTGCCCGATGCTGATGGGGGTCCCCACAGTGCCGGCTTCCAAACTGCCCACCTGAGAAGCTCCTGTGTGCCCGGAGGAGTCCCCTGGGCAGCTGCTCTGGTTTGGGTGAGTGTCCCCGGAGGGCCACGTGTTAAAGGTGGTACTTTTGGGGGTTGCAGGGAACCTCTGGGAGGTGGAGCCTTGTGGGAGGTTTTTAGGTCATTGGGGGTGTGACCTCAAAGGGGCTTGAGGACCCAGGCCTCTGCCATCTTCCCACTTACTCTAAGTGGTTTTGCTCCACCTTGCACACCCGCCATGATGCAATACCTCAGCAAGCCCAAAGCAATAGGGCCAACTGATCGTGGACGGAAACTTCCAGAACCACAGCCAGAATAAACCTTTTCTCTTTATAAGTTAATTATCTCAAGTACTTCATTAGAGTGATAGAAAACTGACTAACACAGCAGTGGAACAAAGAGGGGATCCTGAGCCCACGAGAGCAGTGTTGCTGTCATCTGACACCCAAACCCTCATTCCACAGAGCAGAATTCTCGGCCTCGACACTGTCGACATTTGGGGCCAGATGGTTCTTTGCCATAGGGGCTGCTCTGACCACTGCAGAAAGTTTCCCAGCATCCTGGGCCTCCAGCCACTTGGTGCTGATAGCAGCAGCCTCCTGTACAATTGTGACAACCACAGATGTCCCTGGACATTGCTCCTCTCCAGAGCTATGCCAAGTGCTACCTCTTAAGCCCCTTTCTTGGAAGTCTCTAGAAGTCTCCAGTCCAGTCCTGAGATCTGCTGGACGCCCCTCAGCACGCTGCAGCCCTTCCTCGATGTCCCATGCAAACCCCCAGCACATATGATGCAGTGTGCCCTCTGAGGCAGGACGGCCGGGGACGCACATGGTCCACACATCTGTCCAGCCGTCTCTGATGTCACGAGTCAGCAGATCTAGCCACAGGAAGATGGCCAGGGCAGCTCTGGGCCTCTCTTCAGGGTTTCCCAGCTGTGGACCTTGGGGCTTGCCCTTCCCTGGGTGGGGACTGTCCTGTACACTGAAGGGCACACAGCAGCCCTGGCCTAGGCCAGGATATGCCAGGAGTGACCCCTCTGAGTCAATGTCCCCTTGGGGTGCGAGTGGAGGGCAGAGCACCCACTGGGTGAGAGCGGGCCCTGGAGGAAGGCTTCTCACCGCAAACAGGCGGCAGGGGTCTGGGTGGAGCCGGGGGTGCAGGGTCTAGCAGCCAAGACCCTGGGCTCCATCCCGGCTCTGCAACAGAGAGGCAGAGGGGCAGGGAGACCACTCCCCAAAGCCCTCACTCCCACCTCAGGGCTGATGGCAAGTAGCCCGGTGGCTCCTGGACTTCTTGGAGCACCCGATAAGGGTTAGGGACAGCCAATGCAGACACGGCCTGTGAACTCCCTGAAACCCAAGGACTCCGTGCAGAGAGGGACTGCCGTGTAGTTTGGGATGTAAAAGGATTTTTAAACAATAATAGTAACGCCAAAGAGGCTGTGGGGAACCTGGTCCCTCCTGGTCACACGGCAGGTGAAGCCGTGAATGGGTACTAAGGTGCCTCCCAGGACAAAGCACCACCAGCCGGAGGCCCGGATGCTGACCTCAGAATCCTTCTGGTGGAGGGTTTAGCCTAAAAAGGCTTCCAGAAGAGCAATGCTGCCTTCCACACAAAAGTGCCGGCCACTTGTGGATTCTAGTATCAAAACTGGTAAACAGGGCTGGGGCTGTGCAGGAGAGCGCTTGCTTAGTACGTGGGAGGCCCTGGGTTCCATCCTCAGCACCAATAAAAATAAGTAAATAAAGTAAAGGTATTGTGTCCATCTACAACTAAAATTCTTTATAAAATAAGTAAAAGCTTATTTTTTTAAAAAAAACCTATGTAAACTTTTTTCTTTTTCTTTTCTTTTTTTTTTTTTTTTTGGTGATGCTGGTGCTGGGGGTCAACCTAGGGCCTCGCACACCCTAGACAAGGGCTTTACCAGTGAGTTCCGCCCCGAACTTTTCTCATATGCAGTTTCTTTTAGTTGTAGATGGACACAGTACCTTTTATTGATTGATTTGTTTTTCTGTGGTGCTGAGGATCGAACCCCGTGCCTCGCACAAACCAACCCATGGGGCCGGGTGTGTCGTGAGCGGTGAGCGCCTGCCTGGCACGCTCGAGAACCCGGGTTCCATCCCCAGCACCAAAAAAATAAAGTGAAACCCACGTACCAGGTGGGGTTCATAAATTAGCCCAGATGAGGACAACAATAGAACCCCGTTCACAATAAGATGCAAACCACAGTCAGAGACCGAGAGACACAGAAGCAGGTTGGTGACAACATGTTAAGAGGAGACAGAAGCCCGCGGAACCTCCCCTTCAACGGTCACCGTGGAGCCACTGTCTCCGCGTGGACAAGGATCTGTAGGAACCAGGGAAACGTGAGCCGTGGGGGCGGGATCACGGCCACTTTCACCTTCCCCACCTTCCTTGATCGGTTTTTTTACGATTCACGATTTTTCTCACCACACAAGCAACTTCTCCTGTTCACTCCATTCCATCCTTTCTTTCCAAGGTAGGGTTTTATGATTTTTAAAATTCTTGGCTTACCTTGAGTTTGATGGTTCCTTTATCTAAAAAAAAAAGAAATTGAAGGAAGTTAAATCGAAACTGTTGGGACTGGCAGATGTGAGAAGTTTTCTCCAAGATGGTGGGTGGGAGGTGAAGGCTGGCGGGGACAGGCAGTGCTGGGCTACTCAGGGGGAAGCTGGCCTGTCTGCCTACTTCATTTACCTCCCCTGGCCCTGCCCAAAGTAAGCTGGGAAGGAAGTAAAGAGAAAACTCCGGGGGAGAGGAACAAGACTGGTGGAGAGAAAGAAGAGGACACTGAGGTCCCAGAGGAGCCCAGCCCAGTCGACCAGAGCTGCTCTCCCATCATCCCCTCAGCTCTTCTCCCTGCATGGAGTCGTTGGAGGCTCTCACACCTGTCCTGGGCTTTCTGGCCTCCAGGAATTGATTAAGTATCTACAGCTTTTGCCTCCCGGCATCCATTCCCTATTTCCTGCTAACAGAACCCCAGATTCCTTGGGAGAGCCACTTTCCCAGTCCCATGGCTCCGGGGGGCAGTACCCATGTCCCTTGGGGCTCTGTGCTAATCTGCCTAGGCCTTCCTCCTGGTTCCAGGGATTGGCTCAGGGTCCACCCATCAGAGGCTCCGTCTTCCTATCCTGGGAAACGGGCCCTTGCCCTGGTCTTCAGAGGAGAATCAGGCCCCACCAGGATTTGGGACAAGGATCCAGTCATGGCAGCCAGTGGGCTTCCTTTCTGCTGTGGGTAAACTCGCTCCTGCTGAAGTCAGCAGGGGCTGCCTGCGGATGCCCCCAGCTTCCACATGCCACCCCAGGGGCAGGCGCGGCCTTGCTGGCCTCAGGGCCCCCGGTGTTGTCTGGGTCCCTGTGCCCAGGCTCTGCCTGAGGAATGAGACTGCTGGTTCTGCAGGACAGCCAGTGCCCGGGGCAGGCCTCTGTGTCTGGCTAAGGGCCAGAGGCTGGCTGGGAGCCAGTGCCACACAGTGACAGATCTGAGAGCCCAGGTCTGGGTCTAGGCATCGGGGTGCTGGGGCACCACAGGACCATGAAGTCCCCTCCAGGTCCCCTGTCCTATCTCTGGCCTGGGTCTGCACCCCCAGAACCAGGTCCACTGAGGACCAAGGCTCTCTGGATATTAGGCCCCGACTGGGCAGGGGACTGGTCTCTTGGCCCTCACCCTGTCCCTCTGGGAGCCCGCAGCCTGCCCTCCCCCTCCTCCCCAGGATGTGAAATAGGAGAAAAACCAAGCGCCGTCCAAGATGCCCCATCCCTGGGGGCCTGGGTGGCTCCGCTTTGGAGAGGAGAGCAAGCCCTGGGCGGCACCGGAGGACCTACCCAGGACAGCTCCCTGGCTCTGGGCCACCGCCTCGCCCTGGGCCACCAGCTGAGCCTGGACCGTGACTTCCTTGGGGAAATTAAAGATGGTCACACTGATGACTTCCTGCACTCCCGGGCGGAAGACAGAGGGCACAGCGATCAAATAGCCCCTACAGGAAAGGAGAACGGAGATGAAGGTCCCATCCACCCCGGACTGGCCAGCACCCTGGCTGTGCCGGGGAGCTCCCTGGAGGCAGACTCCCATCTTTTCCTGACCACCCCCAGGTGACACTGCTGCTCCTGGAGGCCTGGGATTGACTTATCCGCCCCGAAGCCCCCATGTTGGGTGAGAATCTGGTCTCATGGGACACACCCAGCATCACCGCCAACCATCACTCTCTGTTTTCTGGCCTCTGGCCTCCTTTCTCTGTTTCCTTCTGTCTCAGGACCTTTTCACGTGCCATGCCCAGCGTCCAAAATGCTCTCCTCCACAAGGCAGGTCACCAGCAAGATTCCACATCATCCTGACAGCCGTCATGTCAGCAATGTCACCATGACCCCACTTACGGAGCCAACGAGTAAGCCCCAAGGAGGGCAAGCCACGTTCCCCAGTCAGCACGAGACCAGGCAGTTGGACTCTTTCTGATTGTCTAAGACCTTTCTAGAAGGCAGGGGTCATTATCCCACTTTTCTGATGGGAAGCGGACTCTCCAGAAGGATCAGGCACAGGCACCAGATCACACGGCCAGGAAGGAAATGGCCCTGAGTCACCTACCCTGAAGACCCAGGTCCTCCCTGCCTGAGCTCCTGCATCCCGGTATCTGCACCCTTCCATGGAAAAAGCACAAAGTTTCTGTCACTACACAAAATGTCCTGGCAAGTGCCAAGAATCTAAGCAACAGCCATGCTCTGATCCCAGCCATGCAGACTATGGGTACCGAAAAGAAAGACTAAAAAGAAAAAGGACCAGGCAATGAGATCAGACTTTCAATTCCTCCGTGATGATATCATGTCCATAGGCAGAAAGATGGATTTAGACCCTTACCTCACACCATATACTAAGACGTGAAGAGAGAAAAACTGTAGAAGCACTAGAAGAAAATACAGGAGGAAGTCTTTGTGAACTTGGGTTAGGCAAGGATCTCTCAGATAAGAGGCCACATGCACACTCCATAAACGCAACTGAGAACGGGGCTGCATTAAATTATCATTAACGATGTTCCGTTCCAAAAGACAGCATGGGTGTGGGGTATCTGCTGCTGGCTGCAGGGATGGCCACAGTAGGCAGTGACCCCAGGATCATGCTGCGCTCTCTGCTTGCACGGTGGCCACAGTTCAGTCCCTCGGGATCACACATAGGTACAGCCTCAGGACCGACCAGAGCTAGCAGTGACCTTGGGTAGGTGTTGTGTACAATCTAATCCTAGCACTGCCCGGCACAGACGATGACCTTGGTTCTGAAGGTGTCCTGCCCGGCTCCAGCACGGGAACGTGGCTTCCTTCAGGACAGTGCTCCTGTCTGACTCCCAGGAGTCCCTAGAGTTTAGAGAGGTCTTCCATTTAGCACGTGCAGAGAAAGACCATCATCTCCGTCTTCCCTGGTGACTTTCCCAGGTAACCTTCCTTGGTTTCCTTGGTTACCTCACCCCATCTGGGCTACAGCCTTCATCCCGCTGCCCAGAGAACTTCACATGACCAAACCCACCTCTCCTGCCGCTCGGAAGTTGCTGCTCTATGCAGCTGTTGGGCTGTTTTTCCAACCAAGCGCTATCGAGTCCTGACCCACCTGCCAACACCTGGGCTGACACTGTCTCCTCTCCTTCGGGTCTGAGAAGGTCCCAGACTAGGAAATAGGGTGTTTGGTTAAGCATGGACAGAACTGGCCTCACGACAGCATGCAAACTTACGCGGCTCAGGTCACAGGAGCGGGTAGCCAGAGCTATTCCAAATGAGACGAAACTTAGGCTAGGTGAACTGTGGCCCTGACTTAGGGAGGCCAGCTGACCTGAAACCCTGGGTGGGTTATTGTTGGGGACTTCTCTTTGCGATGATGCCTCCCAGAAAATGAAATTCCTCTTGACTCAGTCGATCAGACCTCGGGATGACCTTAGTGTGGGACAAACACTCCTGGAAACCCCTTATAATTCTTCAACAGTCATGCTCAGAGGTGCAGGCCTGAAATCCCAGGAACTCGGGAGGCTGAGGCAGGAGGATGGCGAGTTTGAGGGCAGCTCAGCAACTTACTGAGACCCTGTCTCCAAATTTAGAAAATAAAATAAAAAGGGCTGGGGATGTAGCTCAGTGGAAGAGCTCCCTTGGATTCCATCCCCAGCACCACCAGGGAATAAACTAATAAATAACAAATAAATCTGTCACCCAAGGGCTCCAAACTTGGTCCTTTTAAGCTGGTGTTTCTCCATTGGGTCCAGACCTCTCGGTGGAGGGCCGTCCGGTGCAGTGTGGGACCCGTGTCTCTGGCCTCTACCCAGAAGATTTCAACAGCCCTGCCTCCCCCCTAGTTGTGACAACCCAAAATGCCTGCAGACACTTGGGAATGACCTCAGAAAGGCGGAAACCCCCTCCAGGGATGCGAACCCCTACTCTAAAGGACACCAGCACAGAAGTGGGCAGGTTCCCTTCTCACAGAGCCCAGGGGAGGCAAATGCCAAAGCTCAGAACACAGTGCAGTGTTTTGTACTTTTCCAACAGTGACCAGAAAGGCACCGTCTCTGGGAGTGACAGCCCCCACCTTGTCTTGCTGTTTACCTGGGAACCTTCTGCACAAGAGGTGGTGGAGCAGGCCACCTTCTAAATGCCCAGCTGGACTTTACAGGCTGGGCTTGTGCTTGGGCAGCCCCCTGAACCCACAGCCCCTTCCGGCTCAGGAACTTGGCAGGTCTGGATCTTTTCCCTGAAGCCAATTCAGGGGAACCTCTCCCCCAGGCAGTGACCTCACTTTCTCACCGGGTCAACCACCAGAAGCTCTGTAAGCAAACTTCCAGAAAAATGTCCAAGCCAAACACACACTTCCTCCCCTCCACCGGGCCACCAAGGGCAAACACCGCCCCAGCCTCCTCCCCTTCACATCTCGGAAAACGGAAAATCGCCACCCAAGATGACAGTCCCCATCACACCCAAAACAAGAGGCGGGGTGTGGGGGCAGCTTGACCTTTGGGGAATCCCTGTACCTTCCTCCACCACCGGGGGGCTCCTGACGTGCCCTCCCCATTTCGATCACGGAGACAGCCCTCCAGGGCCAGCCCAGAGCAGAGGCTGTGTGGCCTCGGGCAGGTCGCTGCAATCTCTGGGCCAGTCGCCGCGATCCCCGCCCCAGAAGGCAGCCGCCTCCGCTGTCGCCCAGGGAGACTCACGGGGCCTGGGGCTTCGCGGCGCGCACTCGGTCCCTCGAAGGCGACAGCAGCAGCAGCAGCACCAACTGGAGCAGCAGCGGTCGGGACAGGGCGCCCCTCATTTTTCGGCTTGGCGGGGTCGCAGCGCCC